CACAACTCAAGGTAAGGCAACATCCTAACACTGAAATGGGATTTAAATTTACATTAAAATCTGGGCTCTTTTGTATGCAGTGAGAAACCATTCACAGGTCTCATATCAGAATGACTCATAACTTTACTTATCCAAATTCCTTCCTGCCTTCTTTCACAGGAATTTCAGATTAATCAGCTCTGATAGTTTACAGAAAATATTAAATATTGAAGCCCTGTCACTCAGCATTAAAGCTTTCAAAGGCAAAATCGTTTCTTGCCGCTTGACTCGGTTAAAGACTCCCCCCTCCCTCTGCTTCCAAGCACACAGATTGTAGGAAGCTCTGTAACTAGTACCACAGCCCCAAACTGTAGATTACTCATTGTCTTAGTGGCAGACTCCACCTACCTACCCTTTTGCAATCCACACTCCTATTTTTGAGGGAATTAATCAGGCCCCAGCTTCAAGCACCACAGGGTCCATAAATTCAAAACATGAAGAGTCCCTAGATTTCTATAGGTACAATCTGATGTAGTGGAAAGAGCTCTGGACTTGGTTACTTGGGGACATGGATGCAAACCTTTCCTCGGATACTCAATGAGTATAACCACAGGGAAGTCACTTAACTTCTCAAGTCACTGCTCATCTGCACAATGTTTGAAAAAGTTCTCCAGCAACCTACTGGATGGGCCTTGCCTATTGATCTATATCTTGCCACTGGACCCAGATGGCTCGAGAGGAGAGAGTGAGGCTGGTAACACAGCACAGCCCTCCCTCACTTAAATCCAATTCACCTCCCTGATGTCATTGGTCTTCTTAGAGAACTAAGGACAAACAAACCTAAAGATCCTAAAGAACTACCTAATTGGGAGCCATTATTACTACTCCATTCAAGTGACCTGTGGTGAAATCATTTAATATAAAAACTGTTAGGTCCCAGTAACACTAGCTTCTCCATCACTTTGCAAACAACTGTGTGTCTCCATTTTAAAGTACAAGTATATATATACACACACACATACATATATACACACATACATACATACACACACACACAGACACTCATCACTCTCAATGTATACAAGTACCTCAAGGGGGGACGTCTCACTTGCTCCTTTGTATCTCTACCACAATGTCTGGCCCATACAAGGCCTTTAATAACTGCTTTTTCATTAATTTGTGTAAGAACAAAGCAAAGTTAAAGCAGAAACACCCCATGCTAATGGTAGCCAATATGTTACAACTATATCATCTGCTATTTCCATTTTTTCCACTTACACATCAATATAAGTTGAAAACTACTTTCCTTCCCAACAAAGTTCAGATTTATTGGTTTTTAAGAACAGTAGGGAACATTCTATTTGGAGTTTGATTAAAATTTAGCTTCCCCCTGCTTCAGGTTAATAATACTGGAGGAAAACATCTTGAAGTAAAGGAGGGATTACTGAAGGCGTCTTATGCATCTCTTTTTAAATACGAGCAATATACTCTTATATGAAACTTAACAGGGGCAGCTAGGTGGTGCAGTGGATAGAGCAGTGGCCCTGGAGTCAGGAGGACCTGGGTTCAAATCCAGTCTCAGACACTTGACACTTACTAGCTGTGTGACCCTGGGCAAGTCACTTAACCCCATTGCCTAGCCAAAAAAAAAAAGGAAACTTAATAGCAGCTAGCATTTGTACAGTACTTTTCACTTTATTTCATGTGATTCTCACAACAATCCTGGGAGGCAGGTGCTATTATTATTCGAATTTTACATCCGGGGAAACTGACGTTGAAGATACTAAATGCCTTTTGAAGGTTCAAACTCAAGTGTTCCAGAACCCAAGTCCAGCACTCTGGAACTATATGACTTTTTTTTTTTAATCTAGTTATGCATGCTAAAGTTATAGCCGACAGTGGTAACGAAAGCTTCCCAAACTGACTTCTAAAAAAGAGTCAAGGGGCAGCTAGGTGTCGCAGTGGATAAAGACCTGGTCCTGGAGTTAGGAGGATCTGAGTTCAAATCAAGTCTCAGCCATTTGACATTTATTAGCTGTGTGAACCCGGGCGAGTCACTTAAACCACACTGCCCCGAGAGAAAAAAGAGTCAATCCCCAAGTTTAAATTCCATATAGACAGAAGACCACAACTGAAAAGAGGCCTCAAAAAAAAAATAATGATCACACGCTGAAGCACCATTTAAAAGGATAGATTTTGTTAGGAAACAAGGCAGTTACCGAGTTCTGTGCAATCACAGGAAGTGTTTCAAAAGAGAAATATCTGGCTTACAAAGAAGACTTTTCAACGGATGACTTCAGAAAAGCCACTGAGAGGAAGGCTGAGCCAAGGTCTGGAAACTTCAGTTCACATTAATCACCAATTGACTCTAAGCAAAGTACAATTTATATGAACGTTTCCATAACTGAGATGAAAAAAAGAAGGAAATATTTTCTCACACAAAAGTATCTTTAGGCTTGGATTCCTAAGCCATACGGGGCAGGAGCCTGGGGTTCTAACAGTAGTTACCTGTGTAACCTTGGGGAAATTAGCTGTAAGGGCCTCAGTTTCCTTATTTCTGTAAGTAAGATGGAGGATCAGTTGACTGATAAGGACCCACACAGTTCTATCAATCTCCTGTTCCCTCCTTTTGTTGTTATTAAGTGTTAGAGCACATATCAAGTGTTCACCAAAAAAAAACAACAAACTCCTAGAAAGAATTCCTGGACCACTTCAATCCTCAAAAGCTCACCACAAACTTTAGAGCACTCTATAAATTCAAATTGTGCGACTTACAGCTAGCTTAAATTTAAGTTATTTGTTCTTGCCTCCTGCTTCTTAAAAAAAATTTTCCAATCCACCTATTCTACCAAGAGTTTCTCTCAACAAATTCAAATAAGCCAGCTCCTTGAGGGCAGGCACTGTCTTTTGCCTCCTTTTATATCCCGGTGCTTGACACTTAAGGAAAGTTTAAGGGTCTACGGTCTTACTGTGGGTATCCTGCACAGGGAAAGAGGATGTGAACGCAAAGAAAACTGAAGTAAGCTGTAGCCCACAAGGAAGTCTGCATGCATTTCCTTCTCTCCAGCTAGGGTTCCTGCCTCGCACATTGTAAAATCCCATTAAATACTCAACTGTCATCACCTCCTTTTTTCTAAGTTAGTGAAGGACTGCCATTTAAAAAAGGGCCAGATGACTAAGTCAGGGAAGAATTGCCATTTAAAAGAGCCAGATGACTACCAATTTGCTGCTGGTCCTGCACTGGTCAATTTCCAGCCAGCAGATATCTTAAAGTATTCTATTTAACCGTTTCCCTCTCCTATCCCATACCTGGCAGCAAGATGGGTATACTTAGCAGGGCGAGTTGAGGATTCCTATCTAAAAAAAGAGAAGTTTCAGTATGATAATGAAAAAGTTTATGCTTCCCTACCAATCTTAATGTTACTGTTGTCTGTGGTTTTGTTTTTTGTTGTTTTTTCCCCAATTAACCTTCCAAACAGAAGGAAGACTCCTAGAAGACAGTAACTTAGCCCTGAGTTTTATTTATTTGTTGGAAAGGGAGAAGGAGGATTGCATTTATGATTTCCTTGGCACAGCAAATGCTGGAGGAGAAAACTCTGTCAAAGCAGTTCACCACCAGTTCTGCAACTTTTGTCTTAAAGAGAACTGACTTAGAGGGCAGCTAAATGTCACAGTGCATACAGCACCGGCCCTGAAGTCAGGAAGACCTGAGTTCAAATCCAGCCTCAGACAAACTCACTAGCTGTGTGACTCTGGGTAAGTCACTTAACCTCAATTGCCTCACCAAAAAGAGAGAGAGAGAACACTGACTTTGGCACTAAGGTGAAGTGACTTAAATGGTTTTAAGTGCCCTGCTCAGAATTTGAACCTAGGTCTTCCTGATGGCAGGCATTAATTAAAGTCTTTTAATTTCAAAACTTGGAAAGCTGAACATTTGCAGACAGCTCCCTTCTGGGCCCAAATGCAGAGTGGATGTCCCCAATCAAGCTGCCTTCCCCCATGAGGACAATCAATTAATCAATAAACAGCTGAAGCCCACTTGACACTTACTAGCTAGACTTACTAGACCCTGGGTAAGTCACTTAACCCCAACTGCCTAAGCTAACTAACTAAATAAATAAAAACAGCTGACGCCTTGCAGCTGCCTCCAAGCCTGAGAGGGCACTGAGGACAACCAGCCAATACTTAATAACTCAATAAACATTTATTAAGCACCTACTATGTGCAAGGCACAGTACTAAGCGCTAGGGATACAAAAAAGATGCAAAAGACAGTGCTTGCCCTCGCGAAGCTTACAATCTAAGGGAGGAGATAACAATGCAAACAAAGAAAGCTACATTCAGGATAAATGAGAAATAACTAACACAGGGGAGGCACTGCGATTAAGAGGGGTTGGGGAAGGCTTCCTGTAGGAGGTGGGATTTTAGCCGGGAGGTCCGTAGGTGGGGTGGAAGAAGGAGGACCCCCCATCCCTTACCTGCAATATCCCAGAGCTGCAGCCGGACCAGGGTCTTGCTGTCCCAGTTGAGGACCTTGAGGGCGAAGTCCACGCCGATGGTGGCCCGGTAGTGCTGAGAAAAGAGCTGGTGCACGTATCTCTTGATGATGCTCGTCTTGCCCACCCCGAGCTCGCCGATGACCAGCACTTTGAAGAGGTGCTCCTGGGTCTCGGGCACCGCGGTGCCCGCGGCCGCCCCCCGGCCGGGCTCCCCAGACGCCCCGCCAGCCATCCCCGCCGCTGCCCGGAGCCCCCAGCCCAGGGTGCCCGCCGGGAGCCTCCCGTTTCCCGATCCGGACGCGAGCGCACGCGGCTCCACCGCCGGGCGCACCGCGCACAACGAGAGCGCAGAACTTTCTTCTGAAGCTCTCAACTTTCTCGGGGAAACTTTCCACTCCCACCCCAGCTTCCTACACACCACCTGACTCGAGTCATAGGACCCGGAACCTCCCGCCTTATAAAACCCCCTCCTACGGGGCGTGGAAGGGGCTGGTTGGGGGAGGAGGCGGCCCCCTGGCCACTCCCTCCTCATCCAGGCCCGGGTCCCCCAGGACTGAGCTCCTCTGCCGCGGTTTGCTTTCCCCTCCTCCCTTCTCTCTTCCCTTTGGTGGTAAGTAAAGTAGTGAGCTCATTTGGAGCGCCCCACCCCTCGAACGCACCGCACCCCATCTCCTCTCCTGGGCTGGGCAGAAATTAGGAGTGAATTTGCAGAACAGGCCAGCCGGCTCCCACTGTAGGCAAACTCGCTCTTCCTACTGTCGTACACCTGAACAGGTCTATGCTGAGCCTGGCCTCGGGCAGACCGGGCTCGAATCCTTAGGGAGTTGCTCCATTTTGTCCCCAGGGTTCCTTAGAGCCCCCACGGGGTGCGATATGTAGAGGAGAGGGTGCCTGCCTCTCTACCCACAGAGGAATTAGGTAACACTCTGCTTCTAACCCAACGTTAAGGAACCGACGCTGGTTTGAGGGGACTGACCTCATCCCCTTTCAACTGTGGATGCAGACGTTAGATGCAGATGGTTTCAGGCCTGCGGGGGTGGGGGCCCCCAGCCTGGTGTCTAATGAGAGAAGAGTTGAGTTGTTTCTCATGTTCGCCAGCTCCTTAATTGCCCTCCTACATAGCCCAGGGAGAAGTTATTTAACTATAGGTTTGGGGACATATATCTAGGTGTTCCCTAAAGGGAGGGGTAAAAATGCACTCAGTTCGCGGTATAATTTGGGTATAAGACAGGATTTTATTCCTCTGGGCAAAAGAAATGCTAAACAGATGAGCTCATAGCAAACCTCTGCCGCACAACTTCAAAACAGAATTCAACAACAGCCTCTAACTGTTGTTATAATCCACCGGGAAGCTGATGCTTCGACCTCATCGGAAAGTAAACGTTTTCAGGACTGGTGATTAAGCATTTTCCATTTCCCCTCAGCTCTGCCAGCGTCCTTGGCAGGCCAAGTCAGGGCCTTGGTCTCCCCTTATCATGATCATTTCTTCAGGACAGAAATTCCTTGCTTCCAGTCAGCTTTTTTCAATGGACCCTGGACCTCTGGGCCTCTCTACCTCCAAGCCTAGATGTGTCCATCCTGATCAGCTGCTTTAGGGAAAGAAACACAAAGTCAGTCAACTAGCATTTATTAATCCAAAGAGGTAGCCAGAGGCCCTGGTGAAAACTCCCCTGATGGAGTCCCCTTACTGGAATTGCCATAAGATTCTGGAGTGGAGAAAGGCCAGCCTGCCTATCTGTAACCCTTACCCCTTTCTGGAAGAAATCTCTGAGTTACTTGATGCTGCCTGTAGGGCCTGAGCCCGATGCAGAACTTGTCTCTGATTTTTAAAAGCACCATTGAATTATCAGCTCCTCCAGCTGAGCATCCAACAAAGGGATGCCTTCATGGTATCAAAGCACGAAGTCCTCTACTCACTGAGCCTCCAGGTGGCTAGCAAGCAGCCAAGGAGTTTATCATCTCTGAGTGACCATGTTCCTGGAGTCTCCAGAAATTTCTAGGACAGCTCTGGGCACATGCTGGCCAAGATGGCCCCATAGGCCAACGCAGCTTCTGATAAACTGATCTTAGCAGCTGTTTTAAGAGGGAGGACAAGGAACAGAGGAGACTGAGATCACTAGTTTTAACAAAGCCTTGTTGTTCAGTTGTTGTCTTTTTTTTTTCTTCAGTTGTGTTCCACTCTTTGTGATCCCGTTTGAGGTTTTCTTGGCAAAGATACTAGATTTGTCTTTTCTTTCTCCAGCTCATTTTACAGATGAGGAAACTGAGGCAAACAGGATTAAGTGACTTGCCTGGGTCACACAGCTAGCCAGTGTCTGAGGCTGGATTTGAATTGAGGTCTTCTTGACTCCAGGCCTGGCACCCTATCCACTCCCTGCCCCTAGGACCTCATGTAAAAGCTTACATGGAAGAGAAGAGCTGTTGGAATGTAAGCAGAAAATGCCTGGAGGGATCCTAAGGAAAGGAGATGGCTGGTTTCTTTTATAAAGATGTGGAGACTGAGTCTCAGAATGGTTGCTTGGCCCTTCGTCACACATAGTAAATAGGAAAGCTGTGGTTTCCATTTAGACCTTTTACCAATACCTGTTAGCTATGGTCAGCTCTAACCCCTTGCCCTCAAGAATGTGCAGGTCTAATGCTAAAATAAATACACCATATCAAGCTGTCAGAACTAGGATTCTATGTCCTTGAAGAGAGATTTAAAAACAAAAATTTACTCAGAATGATATTTAAAAATCCTAGGACCATGTTTCACTAAAACCAACATAACTGTGTCTCCTAAACAGTAGAGTACTCTCTAACAAGGTAGCATCTAGAACAACTCCTCTTCCCTCAGGCCTTCTTCAGGTTCCTCAGGAGGACCGCCTTCTGTCCACTGAGTTCAAAGACCCGGCCATGGATGAGAACATTCAAAACCTGTAGTACATTATTTTGAATGTTTCAGTGGGAGGAAAGGGGCTAACTTTATCCTTGAAGGTAAGATTTTTTTTGTTGGTTTTTGTTTTGTTTTTAAATAGCCAAAAGTCATTCAGGGTCAAGTCTGTTGCTAGAGGCAGGTTATCAAATTTGATAATGTTATGTTGATTGGTTGAATCATAAAAGTATGAACAGGAATGATTTTCTATTATGGCAGATGAACCAGCTCATTTTAATGAATGTAGTGATCTTTTAAAATAAACATAGAAGTTCCTTAAGTAACTGCTTTGAAGAGGACAGTATTTGTTTATCTGTATGAGTTCCACTGATTTTGTTTTTCTAAAGGTAGTAATGAATGTAGTTTCTCCCGGAATGCCACTTTCTGTGGTTACCCCCTTCTCTTCAAGTTCCGCCTCCTCATAGTCCAGGCCCACGTTATTTTTTGTCTTCACTATGAGAGATACCATAGTATAATGGAAAAAGAGCTGACCTGGCCTCAAAGCCAGGAACCCCTCTCACCTCTGACATTCACTGGCTGTGTCAATCTGGACAAGTTATTTAACCTCTCAGTTTTCTAGGCAACTAACTCTGTAAGTTGTATAGAAGGTGCTACCCTGTATTGGAAGATGGTGTTACCTCACCTTATACCAGTAAAATCTCAAGTCCAGTCCCTATCTCCCTTGATTATGGTAATTTCCTCCTAACCAATGACCCTGTCTCCAATCTCTGTTACTGTCAGTCTATCTTTTATACAGCTACCAGTGACTTAACACAGTGCCTGGAGCATAGTAGGTGCTTAATAAATGCTTATTGACTTCACATCACTCTCTTACTCAAAACCTTCCCAGGTTCCTTAATGCCTATAAACCAAAAACTGACAGATGCAAACTTGGCCTAGCATTGAAAGTCTTCTTCAACTTGACTCCAGCCTGCCTTTCTAGCCCTAGTTTATATTACCTCCCATCACACATTTTACCTTCCAGCCTGATTGGCCTACTAGCTTTTTCTCTCCTGTGTGCACTCCTCTAGGCTTTCCCCAGCTTTAGAATACATTCTTTCCCTATTTCCAGATGTTGAAATCTTTCTTTACTTCAAGGCTCAACTCAGGTGCTGCCTCCTCTGTGAAGCTTCCCTGATCTTTCCAGCTGGATTCACTCCTTCCTCACATGTTCTTAGAGCACAGTGGCTAGATTTGTTCTTTGTGCCTTTCACATCCTGCCTTTTATCATTATTATTTCAGTATGTGTCATCTCCTCCCCTAAAAGAGTTTATGTTCCTCCAAGGCAGGGAAGTCGGTGTTTTTAGTTTAGTATTACCAGTCCACAGAGCAAAGCTGTGTGTCTGGTAGCCACTTAAATGTTTGTTGGACTGAAATGCACTAAAGAGATTAGTTGTCATTTTTTAAGTTGTTTTTCAGTCATGTCTGACTCTTCATGACCTCATTTGGGGTTTTCTTGGCAGAGATACTGGAGTGGTTTGCCATTTTCTTCTCCAACTCATTTTACAGATGAGCAAACAAGGCTAAGTGACTTGCCCAGAGTCACACAGCTAGTAAGTGTCTGAGGCCAGATTTGAACTCATGAAGATGAGTCTTCCTGACTCTAGGCCCTGCACTTTATCCACTGTGTCACCTAACTTCCCCCCCACTTAAGAGATGCAGAGTAGCTAATAGTCAAAACAGATATAAGTATATCTTCTACCTACTGTACTACTATACTATACTTCTATCTACTATACTACTTTCTTTTAGAAACATGAACAAAAATGATGCCCATCATTTCCAGAAATAATGCATATCACATCTTCTGACAATATAATAATAAAACCAATGAACAAGTATACATCATGTTGTACACATATAACGTATATCAAATTGCTTACCATCTCAGGGGGGAGAGGGGAAGAGAGAATTTGGAACTCAAAATTAAAAAAAAAAGTAATAAATCGCTTTAACATGCAATTTTGGGAAAAATTAAGTATTATATAAAAGTATGCATCATGGTTAAATAATACTTGGGAGAATGAAAATTGTCCCTATTTATTAGGTTTCCCTCATATGTCATGAGGCAGTGTGGTATGATGGATAGAGAGCTAGCCTCAGCATCAGAAAGAACTGGGTTGAAATCCTACTCTTTGATTCGTAAGAGCTATGGTACCCTGAGCAAGTCACTTATGTTCTTAGTAACCCAGAAAACTCTGAGATTCTCAGTTGCAGGGCAGGTATTGATCTGCATTGATAGAGTTATCTTCCCCACCAGAAGTTTTCTATAGCAATAAAATCTCAAGTTGAGTCCCTCTCCCTGTCTTTCGTATACAGTCCCAAGGTGGAGATTCTGATTGCACAATTTCTTCCTCTTCTCCCTTCCTCCTTTCCCCTATCTGATATACATTCTTTCTTTACATTCAAGTTAAAATGATCATTGGCAAGGTAGGGTGAAAGCTACATGTTCAAGTAAAAAGATATGTGTAAATTGGGTTGGTGATGGCTGAAGTAAAGCACCCTTTCTTGCCTTAACCTGTAATCAGGACCAAGGTATTCTTAGCAAAAGCCCTCCTGAATTAGAGGTAATGTAATAGATGCAAATTGCATCTTTCTGACAAACTATATATCAAAGATGTTATAATGCTTTTTAAGGAGTTCATCCTGTTATACCTTATGTCATTAAGTGTCTTAAATAGAATGTGTTTTCATAAGGAGAAAATTTGATAAGATAAATCAGATGAGTGTTCCAGTAGAAAAGTCACGTGTCCATTTCCACAGAAATTGAAAGAAGAGATTTCCCTATCAACAGGCTCATAAGGGAAGATGAGAAAAGAGGGTGTGGTCACTAGCAAATGACTAAATAATACTTTTCAGACATAAAAAAAGGGGAACTTCAACATATTTTAAATGAGTGTTTGTTTTTCAGTTCAGCTGTGTCTGGTGTAACACTGTAATTATGGGTCTCTGGACATTCCATTTCAAGCTATTTTTTCCACTGTTTTTCTCCATGACTGTTTCAGTGTTCACAGAACAGAAATGGAATAAGAATGTTTTCATTGAGATGCTTGTCTAACATAAAGTAGCCAAAATACATTGTCAAGTAATTTGATTTCATTTTACTCCATAATAATAACAATAATAATAAATGGTATTTTCATAGTGCTTTGAGGTTTGCGAAGTGCTTTATATTAGTTATTTCATTGGATCTTCCCAATAACCTTGTAGGGTAGGTGCTATTACCTCCATTTTACAGACAAGGAAACGGAAGCAGAGGGAATTTAATGATATACCCAGAGTCACCAAGCTAGGAAATTAATGTCTAAGATAGAGTTTGAACTCAGGCCTTCCTCACTCCAATGCTGCTGCTTTATCCATTCCAGTAATTAGCTGATAAAATTCTTCCGTCTTTTATAGATGTCCAAATCTATAGAGCTGAGGCTAAGTATACATTAGGGAAAGATAAATGGCTGGGAGAGAGCATTGGGCTTGGAATTGGAAAGACTCATCTTCATAAGTTCAAATCTGGCCTCAGATATTTCTAACAGTGTGACCTGGGCAAGTCACTTAACCATGTGCCTCAGTTCCTTATCTGTAAAATGAGCTGGAGAAAGAAATAGCAAACCACTGTGGTATCTTTGCCAAGAAAACCTCCAAAATAGGGTTATAAAGAATCGCATATGACTGAACAACAATGTTATGTTATGGTATGTCTTATATGAGCACATCTGATTTTTAATTAACTTCTATTCCTACACAAATATATCACATGTGATATTGAGGATTTATATGCCAACCACCACAGAGAGTAAAATAAAACCAGTGCTACTTATTACCAGCATAGCATCCATCATAGGTGGTTCATTACATTGGAGCAAGTGGTCTTTTGAATGCCTGATTCAACTAATTATAGTTCATGAGTGGCAGTATGAGTTTGATGAGGTCAGTGCATATGAATTTCTGTTTTCGTCTATCCTAGCTACATGTATTTGGAGATCACTCAAGTTCTTTAGCTCTTAGTACGGTGCCTGGTACATAATAGATGCTTGATAAATGTTTATTGATTGATGGTCATTCAGTTTTACTATTTTCGAAATTGAAGCAATTAACTTGGAACTTCTTGTTTTAAAGAAATTGTTCCATTTATATCTGTAGTTAGGATTTGTTGGTTTGTTTCTGTGTGTGTTCTCTAAGTATTTAAAAATATCTAAAAAGTATCATTAATGTATTTTGCTGTTATATTAATTCATTTCTGAATATATCTCCCTTCCAGCGAACCATCTCATGTAACAAATATTTTAAAAGAATAAGAAAAAAGCAAAAAAAAAAAAAAGAATCAACTCTATCTGATGATATATGTATATATGGATGTGTATATGTGTATAATACACACATACGCACACAATACTCTATACCCATAGTCCCCTACTTCTGCAATGAAAGGGAGGACATGAATTTTCTCATCTTTTCTTTGGGGCCAAGCTTGGCCACTATTGTGTTTTGTTTATATCTATAATTGTAAAAACACAAGTTAAAACCTTTGGTAGCAATGAACTTAAACATCTTGATACAGAGAGTATTGACTGGTTGATAGCTCTTTATTGTGTGGATGGTGGTCTGACATGCTAACTACTTACATAAAGCCCCTCTGGGACTTAGCATCTTTCCCTTAACGGTTCCTACCTTCTGTTGATTTTCTCCACATTCTCCTGCCTATATCTTGTTTGAGGGGGCCATCTCCGGTCATCCTGATCGATATCTGGCCACTGCACCCAGATGGCTCTGGAGGAGAACATGAGGCTGGTGACTTTGCACGGTACCTTCCTCGCTTAAGTCCAGTTCACTCTCAAGTCATGGCATCACCTTCCTGATGTCATGGTCCTCTTGGAGAAAGGGCACACAACAACAATAAATAACATCTTGTTTGTACATGGTTGTTTGCGTGCTGCCTCTCCATCACACCCAGATCTCTTTGAGGGCAGGGACATTTGTGTTTTGTTTTTGGTTCTTGTTGGGTTTTTCGTTTTTTGTTGTTTTGTTTTGTTTTATTCCCAGTGCTTAGCATAATGCCTGCCACATA